GCAAGGTACAGTTTTGCACCAACCCACAGACATTGGAATGGAATCAAACACATATTGCGATATCTTCGTGGCAAAACTGATATGGGATTGTTTTATTCAAAGGCACCAAATTCTCAATTGATTGGATATGCAGATGCCGGCTATCTCTCTGACCCACATAAAGTTTATTCACAAACACGATATGTGTTTACCTGTGGCGGCACTGCTATATCATGGCGATTTATGAAACAAATAATGATTGCAACTTCTTCAAATCATTCTGAGATACTCACAATTTATGAGGCAAACAGGGAATGCTTTTGGTTGAGATCAACGATTCAACATATTTGAATAACATGTGGTCTCTCATCAATAAAATAAAGGCCAACAGTATTATATGAAGATAATGTGGCATGCATTCCACAGATGAAAGAAGGGTATATTTAAAGTGACAGGACTAAGCACATCTCACCAAAATTCTTTTATGTGCATGAATGCTAGAAAAAAGGGTAATATTGATATTCATAAGATACGTTCATGTGAAAATCTAGTAGATCCATTCACTAAAACGCTTCTAATTACAACATTCAAGAAGCTGGTGCACAACATTGGAATGCGTTAACTAAAGGATCTTCAGGGTTGAACTAATGAAAGGGAGCAATTGATTGATGAGGTATTGGCATACTGTATTCTTTTTCCTTCGTCCAGGTTTTGTCCCACTAGATTTTCCTAGTAAAGTTTTAATGAGGCAGTTTTAATTTATACAATATCATTTTCAGATACATAAGAATACTGTACTATTTTTCCTTTGCTAGGGTTTTATATCATTGGGTTTTCCTTAGCAAGTTTTAACGAGACATATTATTAGTGTAGTGTAGTGGACCCCAAGGGGGAGTGTTATATATATGTGTGTGTGTGGGGTCCACATGCAATTATGATATAGATTGAAAACAATGTAGACATACTTGTTTGGCGTGAAGAGAAAGCCCAAATCCTATGGCTTATCATGGAAGCTTTCATTCTATGGCGTATTGAGGAAGCCTCATATTGGAGGAGCCTATAAAAGGCCATGTTTTCTGCTGCTTTGTACATATGCTTAATAAAAGGTTTTTCACTTCCTCTCTTGTATATTCTCTCTCTCTAAGCTGTCACTCAATATTATTCTATCTCTCTCTCTATATATATACATATATTTATTATAGCTCTCATTTTAAATCAAGAAAGGCCTACCTAGAGATATGACACTTTATTTTTTAAAAGAATAATACTTACATTCTACGCAGGGAGGATGGAGTTCATCCTTGACGTGGCCATCCTCCCTACTTACACATGTCTAAAATAAAAAAATAATAAAAATATGAATAATATTCATTTGTACAGGTTAAACCTGTTTCTCCTCATCATTATCTTATTTCTCTCTCTAAATGCAGAAGCCATAGAACCTCTGGTTAAGCTTCTCTCTTCTCTGTTTCTCAGCTTTTACATGATTCAAGGGCTCTTCCCTTCCATTTGCTGGTTTTCTACCCCGTTTTCTAAGCCGTTTTTCTGGTTCCACAACTTTACTACTATCTGTTTCCTTAACCACTGAGGCCTTAAGATTAGAATGATCCGAATCTACAACACCACTTGATTTCACTATGCCGGAGGAAGGCAAAACCACCCCGGAAGTGAAGGAGAGCATACCCTCTCGTTACTACCTCGATAGGTTGGATACCTCTTCTTAATGTCCTCTGTTCCCCAAAATTGTGATTGACCCGAAAAGAAATTCGCATTTGCTTTACAAGAACTCCTCTTACTCTTACCAAAATTCAATATCTCCCTTGTTTTGGGCTTACACGGATGAGAATTTCCATTCCTAACACTACTTTTATCAAACCCATATGCAAAAAAATTCAATTCTCTATTAAAAGAAACTCTGGTTTTGGATTTGCGTTTGTTGAATTGCAATAGGGTTTTCAATCTAAGTACTAGAACTAGGGTTAGGGTTCTCAAAGACAATTTGCTTCGACAAGTGATGATTGTTAGATGGGAGAGTAGTTGACGGTGTTGGGTTATCAGAATTTCTGATTTCAACACCGGACGACGAGGATCAGTGATGTAAAGTGATGATGGGCCGGTATCGGAGAAACAGGTTTAACCCGTACAAATGGACATTACCCATATTTTTATCATTTTTTTATTTTTAAAAACTGTCAGTAGAGAGGAGGGCCACATTAGCATGGAGGAATATCTCCATCCTCCCTGTGCAGGATGCAAGTATTTCTCTTTTTCAAAAAACCAAACCAACCTTGGTTCCATCAATTATATGTTTGAATTGACAGATGATGTTTAGCTCCAAATCTCACTTGGTCTAGAATTTTGAGATTTTGCTCATTAATTTTTTTTTATAATATTTATATTTTTATATAGTCACTTCATCTAAAATAATGTCAATTGCAAAATTTGCTTTTGACATTCTCATTCTTAATTGGCATATTAAGGTAAATATTTCACATAAATCAAATTATTAGCATGGTTATTTTGTGTCAATATTTGAATGGTTAAATTGTTTAATTTCTTCATGACCGATCCATCCGGAAAGAATATTTTAATATTCTTTGTGGAATATAATAGACTTAATCTTCTGTTGTATATAACCAGACAGTAGAATATAATTTATCTTTTGTCTCATTTATGATAATATCATATGCTAACAAATATTCCAACACCAAAAGGTTCAAACTTCAAACATTAGTTAATTTGTCATAAAAGCAAAGAATCCTAATTCTGTAATGTTTTTTATGCCATATACAGCCAGAAAGGTAGGTTTTCACACAATCTCTCTCTATTCTGGTCTATTCTTGTTATAATATCGATCACATTTTTATTAAAAAATAAAATATAAAAACATAATAAATACAAAAAGAAAAACTAATCATATATTTGGGGCAGGTCAAATTTAATTATTTAAGTACAATGGTCCTTCAATCTGTCAAATTGATTAATCTTCACCAACTCGTTTTAATTTGCATGTGTATGATATGATGTACATTTGATCACATTTGTTTTTCTTTAGTACTTGCTACATAAATGATTATACTGTATTTAGCCTATAATTGAAGTAGCACAAGTTTGGATCATAGAGAGAAAAATAAATAATGAAATAAAGGAACAAAAATTTCTACTATAAACCGAGGTTTTTGGTGTTAGCTAAGAGGAGTGTTTTAAGGGAATTAAAGCTCATAATGTGAACATAAGTGGGCGCTCTCTAACAAAAAAAATAAAATATGTCACATCCCACAGTCCCACTCTTTTATTTATGTAAGGAACTCTTTTATTTATTTGATTAAAGGTATGTGGCGTGTATTTTTTGGTATCTTTGGTCTGTGTTCGAAATCCATCAGAATTATTTTTTCTCTCTTTTCATATGTTGTTAAATTGATATTCATGTAAAGATGTGAAATGTCTCGTGAGAAGGACGGTTTATATTTTATTTCTTGAACGGATCATCTCGTGAAAAAATAAAAAAATGATTTTCATTAAATTATAAAACGGCATGCAATCGATGCATTGTCTCTTTTTAAAATTATCAACTTATTTTTTTCAAATTTGAATATATATGTTTAACCAAGTTAATTTTTTTTTTTTAAAACTTCAAGATTATTTATGTAAAGATGTGAAATGTCTTGTGGGACGTGTATATTTTATTTCTTGAATGGATCATTTCATGGAGAAATTAAAAAATGATTTTCACTGAATTATACTTTTTTAGCTTATGCTCAACAATTATTTTATTATTTAATTCATACCAAAATTCAAAATTAGAACATTGATTTATTTAAAATAAAAAACCATTCTTTGTCACACTAACTTACATAATTCTTTTATGGGTAAATTACACCGACCTCCCATGAGATTTGGACAAATTACACACAGATTGAGCATTTGACTTTTATTACTTTGACTTCTCCTAAAAGTGTAAAATGTCTTTTATTCCCTTACCTAATTTTTTTACTTTTTTAAAAAATAAATTTAATCCAACCCTAAAAAGACACCTAATCAAATGTCATCAATAAAAAAAAAAAATATTATTTTTGTGAAATTTGTATGAAAATTGATACTTTATAGAGTAATGATAGGGGAACCGAAAAGATATATTTTATCACGTGTTAAATAATTATTTTTTGGAAACTGTTTAAGTAGATGATGCGATAAAAACACGTCAGATTCGAAAATTATTGAGGAAATTATTCGGTGATCCTATCATTTTCTTATATTTCAATAGCATTTCATAATATTTTTTTTCAATTTCATGTCAAAATATAAGATTATTATGGTATTTAAGGAAAGAAAAAAAATAATTTAGTCATTTTTTGATTTTTTTATTATTAATAGAGAGTCTCATTGAGTACACAAACAAAATTTAAAGAAAAATCAACCTGATAAAGGCCAAACGTTCTACCTGAATAAGTAGCATAGTGATTCCGGATACCTACTTCCCAAGGTCTTTTTACTAAAAACAAAAACAAAATTAAAATTTTGTCTCTAACAGAAATAATTCCTAGGCTCTACCATGGATTTATTACTATATACACTTGTATACTACTCTAATACAAATAGAAAAGAAATGAAATACTAGTATAATGACACTTTTGCCACTACAATATAATATATATTTCGAATCTTCGGACCAGGCTGTACCTGCCCTCGGTTTCGTCAGCTGTCACTCCTCGTCGAGCAGAGCTTTACCCTGCATCACTTTACACGTTTTTTATTTAATCACTGCTTAAAAATATCAGCACATCTGCAAACATGGACAATAAGGTAATACCATTACATCTCAAGTACCGAAAACACCCTCACTAAAGCAACATGGCATGCTAGACATTAGAGGCTCATGGTTCAAAACGTATTCCAAACATCACTCGATAACAATATCTCCAATTTATCTATCCCATTAACGCGTTCTAAATTAATAGCAAAGACAAAACAAAACTCTGAAGTTACAGATATATATATATATATATATATATATATACATGGAGAGAAATATATATACAGTATACACACACTCACACAGATAGATGTAGAGAGAGAAAAATGGACATAATCACGGTTTCTCTTGCCCTGGAAATGGAAAATAGAGGGTCGACTCCGAGCGAAAGTCCCGCGCTTTCTGCATAGGAATTTTTAATATCCATGTTTGATCCTGTAATTTCAACATCTTCAGATCTTCTTTACCTAATTCATACATGTATAGTTATCTACTCACTATAATTACCTTCCTATTCTGTGTCACACTCACTTCGCTTTCTATATCTATATATATATACTCCTCTCTCTCTCTCTCTCTCTCTCTCTAAACAGTCTGACTGAATTCTTTTCATTCTCTTCTTTTAACGTTTTCTCTCTCTCCACAGCGATAATCTTTAGATCCGTACGGGGAGTGATTTGGACCGCAAGATGCTTGGACTGTGAAGTTTGACCAAGTCGCGATCAGAGTCGGGGAGAGGGGGAGTGCGTCGTAACTAAGCTCGATGGGGCAGTGCTACGGCAAGACCATTCCTACCGGCGACTACGACGGGACAACAATCACCACCACTGTGGCCAACGATGACGGCCGAGCTGGCGATAGATCGCCGCCGAATCCATCGGGGACTTCCGCTAATAACGGCGTCGTTAACACCCCAGCGGTGAAGAACACACCGGCTCGATCGTCGGTGGCGAGTCCGTCGCAGAGTCCTTACCCTCATGGCGCGCCGAGTCCGTATCCGGTGGGAGTGTCTCCATCTCCGGCGAGGGCGACACCGAGGAGGTTCTTCAAGCGGCCGTTCCCACCGCCCTCGCCGGCGAAGCACATCAAGGCTTCGCTTGCGAGGCGGTTCGGCCATGCGAAGTCGAAGGAGGGACCGATTCCCGAGGACGGTACTATGGAGTCGGATCAATCGCTCGATAAGAATTTCGGCTATAATAAGAATTTTGGTGCAAAGTATGAATTGGGGAAAGAGGTCGGCAGGGGGCATTTTGGTCATACGTGCTATGCGAGGGGCAAAAAAGGGGAGCTAAGGGACCAACCTGTTGCTGTCAAGATCATCTCCAAATCGAAGGTTTGTGTGTTTTCTTTGTGAAATTAAACTTTCTTCTTTCTTTTGAAGTATATTCTGATTTTCATCACTTGAAAAATTGATTGTGCTATTGTTTTAAGTTGATTTTTGCTTAAACATTATCCATGTTGTTCATTGTTAGTGCAATTGCAGTTTCATCATGTTGAATTTGCAGCATATTTTTTTAGTTGGTAGATTTCATCTGAATTTGTTTTTTACGTGTGTCTTAATGGGGAACTTGATAAAATAGTTGCCGTCTCATTGTTCTATATATACATTTAAAGCATGAGCAACAAGTGATATACTATTTCCTTACTAAAAAAGCAAGTGATATATCTTCCCAGAACACATTAATAAGCTTTGCCCCAACTTTATTTGATACTTTGCTTATCACAGTAAATTCCTTGGGAATACTAATTTATTGACTGATTAGGCAAACAGAGACTGTACGGTACCAGGGAAATATGAATTCTAGTGGATGAATTTGTGTCATTTATAGATAAGAATGTTCATATTAGTGCTACATGTGCTATAAGTTTATAAGGCATGCTTAATCAAGACTGATTTGGTACTTATGTTTTGCTATTACTTGTTTCTCGTAAGATGATATTTAATATTACTTGTTTCTGCTAATTTTTGATCGTTTCTTTTGAATCATTGGCAAATAGAGGATTTTTTTTTTTTCTTTCCCTTGGCAAGAAACTCACTTACACATTTGCTCCTATGGAGACTTGAACCCCTCACCATCCACTTTGGGAGGTAGAGGAGATACCACTATGCTACAACGATCTTGGTAAACAGACGAAAATTACTCTAGTATGCATAAACAAGAAAATATTACATTTTCAGTTTAATAAATTATGTAGCTTCAAACTTATAAGTGCTACCTTCAATTGAGACCAGGAAAGTTGTTTTGTTTTTAGAAATTTTCCTCTAGTGATAATCAAGAAAATGTTAACATTTTCAGTTTAACAAATTATGTAGCTTCAAACCTGAAAGTGCTACCATAAATTGATACCAGCAAAACTGTTTTGTTTCGAATGTTGTTGGATTAGGTAAGAGAAAACAATGTCCAGTTCCTTAAAGGCAGTAGAGAATTTATTGGCTTTTAGAAACAAGGGTTATCTCTGAGAGTTTGTGAGAGCAGTAGTTTGGAAGGGTTATCTTCTAAACGGTATTTGGCATCATTCGAATTAGAGCAGTTAAATTGTTACATTTTTGTGCTCTGTGATGGACCTGATGGTTGAAGCATTGATAGAACATGGATTTGTTTACTAAGTTTTCTTGTAGGCTCATTGCCATCTCAACAGTTATCAATCAGCTTATTTCATCCTCTTTTCTGAAGTGGAAATGATTTTAAAGCTAGAAAGAGGAAAGTAGTTCACTTTTACCAACTAACAACATCAACCGATATTCTGACTAACATTCAAGTTCAAAATTTGAAACTTTTTCTAATTATTCTTTAATTTTCTGTTAAGTTTAACTAATGATATTTTCGTTATGTCTTAATGTGTTTATCGAGTAGTTTTGTATCTCAACAAGCTCTTTTTGGCAGATGACAACAGCGATATCAATTGAAGACGTTCGTAGAGAAGTAAAAATATTGAAAGCTCTGTCAGGGCATAAGCATCTGGTCAGATTTTATGATGCATGTGAGGATGTGAATAACGTTTACATAGTCATGGAGTACGTCTTTTTTTTTGCCTCTATTCAACTTTCTATGGAACTTATTGTCGAAAGTGCCGTTCGAATAAATATTTCTTCTTGTACTTTGCTTTTAATGTCTACATGACAATTTAACCTTTTGCCATGTTGATCTTATTTTCTTCCATTTTGTCTCATTAAAAATGTTTTACTAAGCTTTCTGCATCGTAGAATATTTAGATTTTTCTTTACTGGTCCCCCAATCAATATATTCACTGCCTCGTGTCAGAAATGAGCCATCTCACGAGTCATAACCAAATGGCAGATCCAGTTCTCGTGTTAAGACATAACATCAACATGTGGTGTAGAATTCAAATTAAATGACTATATTAATCTGGATTTTTAGTAATTGCAAAATAAAATTTTTTCACTCATTTTTTTATTTTTATTTTGCAATGGCACTTATGCAATTTTATAACTCAACTAAAGGCTGAGTAGCAGAAAGAAAAATGGTGCTAGCTAAAGTACCAGTGGTGATTGAAGTGACAGTCGCAACTCAGATTTTGGATGGTGTTGCACTGTGAAACCTTTGCTATCTAACAATTGGGATGGGACAATTGCCTCAATCACAATAGTTGCTATCACTCCTTAAATAATAATTTTAGAAAAAAAAACAGCCCTCAACATGTTGGTGAGGAAGGATGAGACATATAAAAAGCGCACGAAGAGAGGGAGTTGGACCATGGTTGGGGAAAATTTTATTCAATACAATCATACACCGTCCACACCAACGTTTTTGAGATTGGTGGTTTTATTGTACTGGTTGCAATGAACAATGTGTTAGAAAAAGGGTAATTTTGCCTCTTTTAGTCTACAGTAATTTTTGAGCCATCAATTGACTAACAGTTTAGGTTCAAAATGGAACTAATCCTATTTAATTTTAAAAAATGGACTGACATCAAATACATGTAAAATTATGGGATTTAAAATATATATATATATATATAATAATTTGAATTTCTCTTTGTAGAATCATACCAGTTCTGTGTCTTATCATACCAGTTCTGGATTTTGGTGTGGTTAAACTTTTCTTTTGTTATCTTCCCAGATTATGTGAAGGTGGTGAACTACTCGACAAAATATTGTCAAGGTGAAACTAAAGTTTGTTTTGAAATATTATTATCTAATTTGAACTTTATATAACACGATTTCATTGGTTGCAGAGGCGGAAAATACACGGAAGAAGATGCTAAACTTATTGTTGTACAAATATTAAGTGTGGTTGCATTTTGTCATCTTCAAGGTGTTGTGCACCGTGACTTAAAACCTGAGGTTATTGCTTCTTGAACTTGATATTTTAGTTTTTTTTTTTTTTCCTTATTTGCAAACTGACTCACAGAGTATCTTTTTTCCATTTCCAAATTAAAATCATTCTGTCTTTCTGTTCAATAATTATTCTATTATTCTCTGTTTTCTTCATCATTTGATATTCTTTCTAATTGCTTGCATTTCAGAATTTCCTATTCACCTCCAGAGATGAAAATGCTGATATGAGGCTTATTGATTTTGGTCTTTCCGACTTCATCAAACCAGGTGATTATGTAGATCCTACTTAGTTTGTTTCTTATCAGTTACCCATGTCATACCAATGCAAGGTGGACCTCATCACATACCTAAAGCTTATCAGTTATTATGTGCCACTGGCATTTATCATTTTCATCTCCTTGTTTTTTAGTTTTCAGCTTTACTGTGTTAGCTTGTTATAAATATGCATGATGCTACCTCACTTAATATGCACACATATATACTTACATACACATATATATTTGTATTTAGATATAGAAGTTGGCGCTCAACTAATTAATGAATGACATGGCATGGGAATTTTAACAATGAAGCGCAAGTACTTTAAACTGAAAGAAAATGATTAAAAATGACTTTTTTTCCCCTGATGAATAACGGAAAACTTACTCGCCGAACCGGAACTTAATCTTTGTCTTTAAAATTAATATTTGCCTTCACTAGGATCATTACTTGAGGTATGCATCCTTGGTGAAAATGGGGTACTCAGGTTGGCATCTTCAGGATACAATGGCATCCCTTGAATTTGTGTACTCACAGTCGAGAGATTTAACTTGTCAGAATGATGCCCAAAACAGTATGGTGAAAATATATAGTCATCCGGATGCTGGAGGAATTTGTTGGGAAACTAATTGGAGAACGATTCTAATGTCACTAAAGATTTGTCGGAGAGTCGCTGGCCTTTCTGGATGTTGATCTGTTATACGCCTTGAGAAATGTTGGAAATATAGAATGCTTTGTGTAATCAAATTTGAGAAAATGAAGAGAACTTGAATTTGCATGGTGACTTGAGGCCTACCCTGCAGGCCTTTTAAGACTTGTGGCGTGACCTGGGCCATGATTCCATGAAGGCCCAATTTAATTTCAAATGGCTATCCCATAAATGAGAGCAGGAGATCAAGGGAGTCAGTAATATAAGCAGAGAATTACTACCATATTCATTTGTTCTGCACTAGCATCGAATTACAAAGAGACCTTCGCCACTTAATCTTTTCCTAAACATTTCCATTCTGAATCAAAAGCATGGTTGAACACTAGCTTTTGCTGCCTTGTCGAGAAGAGATCTTGAGACTAGATTATTCTGTGTATTTGGCACACAAATGATTGAGTTGAGAACTAGAGGCTTCTAGATGTCAACTTTAGCATCACTTCTCCAATACCTAGCCCAGTACGGCATGATTAGGTGGGAGAGCAGTGTGTGTGCTCAGCCCGAATTGTTGCGGTGTGGTGATGAACTTGTTTACAATTTTCTTTCTTGGCCCAGCTCGTGCATAATCCTCCCATTAAGCAAACTCTTGACTAGACCCAACCACTTTAGTAATAAACTTTTTAAGTTATTATATTTCAGTGATATTGGACAAAGTTGCCTTTAGAAATATTGGGGCATCATGTATATGTTGTGTATGACAGTATGAATATATATTTGATGTTCATGAGCCTTAATGAAAATGCTCAAGTGGTTTAGGATTGGCTCGGGAATACAATTACCAGATGTAGGTTTGAGCTTGGCTTGTTATTAGTGAATGAACCTGAACAAGCCTCTTAAAAGTTGAGAGCAGTGTGCTGACAAGCATTCTGGTTTGTTAAAGTGCAATTAATGCATCTAAAATTGTTCACCCAATGTAGGACATACCGGGCTTTACTGCTTTAGTCTTTGTTCGATCCAACTTATGTAGCCCCACTTTTTGCAAATTCAGTTTTTATTTTATAATTAAAAACTCAAGTGTTTAGTTTCTGTGACTTGCTTCTAGTCTTTGTTTTAAACCGTCAATTAAGATGTGTGCTATCAGACTTGTATCAAATGTATAGAGTGACTGGTTTTGGTATGAGATGCTCCTATATCCATTGGGCCCCTACAGTAGTAGCAACCGACAAATTCATGTATGATGTTGAATTGAATATCACTAGAGTGAAGCATCCATTTCATAGGTTAGTTTCTCATCAGTCCAATTGTGTCTTGGAACTGAATTTTAAGCTTTGTATTTTTCTCGTTCACATACATGTTCATGCAGATGAAAGACTTAATGACATTGTTGGAAGTGCATACTATGTGGCTCCAGAAGTCCTTCATAGATCTTATAGTTCTGAAGCAGATATTTGGAGTATAGGTGTTATCACCTATATCTTGTTATGTGGAAGCAGACCCTTCTGGGCAAGAACAGAATCAGGCATTTTTCGAGCTGTGCTAAGAGCTGAACCAAACTTTGATGATTTACCTTGGCCTTCTGTGTCGCCGGAAGCAAAGGACTTTGTGAAGAGGCTCCTGAACAAGGATTACAGGAAAAGGATGACTGCCGCTCAAGCCCTGAGTAAGTCGCAAGCTCCAGTAATTGCTATCTAAATATGACTTGGATATTTAACTAACCGTTAGACATTTGATGCAGTTGAATCATTATGCAGAACTGAATCTTTGTTAGGCACTAATAATGGTAGTGTATATTGCTAACATAATCAATTTTTACACTAATGTACATGATGTGATTGCAGCACACCCATGGTTGCGGGGTCAAAGTGAGACTATTCCTTTGGATATATTGATCTATAAATTAGTCAAGTCATACCTTCATGCTACACCTTTCAAACGTGCAGCCCTAAAGGTATTATCTTCTTGTCTTTCATTATTGCACCATCGTTCTTATTTATTTATTTATTTTTACTGGATGAGATGCACTAAGTATTAAATTGGTGATATGCATATTGTTAGAATTTCACTTATACTTTGTATCTCTTTGCCATGGTTATACTTGGTTGTTCTATGCATGAATTGCATATTATCCTTCTCGCATTAATTTTTCCGTGAACAAATTTGTAATTATTTGAGCTTGGTACTGGACAGAGAATGAGAGTGTTTATAACAAGAAGAAGAAGACTGAAAATAATCTAAAGATAAAAAGCATGCGACAAAAATTGAGTAGAATCACCAGAAACGATAAAACAAAAATTCCTTTAAATTTTAATCAAAGCTAATCTTATTATCATATTATTAGGTTTTTTTCTGGATAATTTTGGTTTTGTTTTTTTATTACTCAGACGCTTTAATTGCAAGTGTTGCTTGTGTATTCTCTCTGAAAGCAAAGAGTAATTTTCGCAAGGTATCTCCTGTGGTTAAAAAAGCCAAAGACAAATAGCTTTGGTGTTTTACAATGACTGAACATTGAGTAATGATAATAATGTGCTGTTACTTGATCATGAAGCCGAAGAATAGCTTCCTGATAATTGGGCTTAGATTTCATCGAACTGAGTTTCTGGAGCAAATGGATTGTTATCGTGCTGTGGGAAACTGCAAAGTGAACAATGTCACTGCTGTGGGATAACAAAGTCTTTTCTGAATCCTTTATTTTTATCATTTAAAAAAAAAAAAATATTGTTGCTGTTCCTTCTTGAATATTATTTGATTTTCCTAAAATATTAGTGTTACTGAGAGATCATATGATGATGCAAAATCCATTTAGAAACAAAATCAAAGTGCTAGTACCTCAGTGTTGTGTCGGTAGGCATGGTTTGCTGATTGCAAGTATCAACTAGGAAATTCATCAACTGTAAGATACTTTGCAAGCAGTGTTGGACTATTGTCTTAATTGCCGGGCATGGTTATTACCCTTATTTATTCATTGTCCGGTTATCATGGTGAATGACATTGCAACTTTTCAAGAGGCAGCACTTGCAAAGTTGTCTGATGCAATGTGAGTCATTCCCAACTTGTGTGTGTATACGAAGCATAATTCTAGAGGTTGAGGGTACACTATCCACTTTATGATAGGAAGCTTCGTATCTGAAGCTTTGGCGTGGCTATAACCCCTATTAGGAAGTGTCCAAGTAATCTGACAATGCAATTTTCCTAGAGCGAGCACATGCAAGCTTGTCTGATGTATAAGTGAGGACATCCAGTATTACTTTGCTGATCTTGTCTGTGAAGCTAGTAGAATTTACTGTCACGTGCAATGCAATGAGTATTGGATTTCTTGTTGGCCCTTGTGTTATTTATTTGAAAATGTATGAATAACTAATCCTCAGAACTTCACCAATAATTAGGGTTCAACAACTTAATTTTATAAACTAAAAGCCTCTCTTGAGGATTTAAGCGTGTGAATTATAACATGAAAACTTAAATTTATTTTACTGCTCTGTTGAATACAAAACAACTTGGCATGACAAGACTGAAATATGAATTCTTCTTGGCAATTAGCAGCCAGTTTGCCCCGTCAATCAAATGTCACTTGAAAATAAGTCTGAAACTTTTGTCATGAAATCATGATTGATTGAGGACTCTGCTTTTAGTTATCATTCTTGTTTTTAATTGTTTGTTCTATAATTGCAGGCTCTCTCAAAAGCGTTAACAGAGGATGAGTTGGCTTATCTTAGAGCTCAGTTCATGCTCTTGGAACCTAATAGAGATGGGCGTCTCTCTCTTGATCATTTCAGAATGGTGGTTTACTTTTCTTTCTATCTGATGTTTAAAGTTAAGAGGTGGTTTATGACTAAGGGAATTGAACAAGTGAAGTTCTAACTATGGAATGACATGGCCATATGACTAGGAATTATAATATGTTTTATATTGGCTGGTTTTCTTGTTTTTCTCCTTTTTTGTAAAGCCAACATTATTGTGAAAAGATAACTGAAATATATTTTCAGGCCCTTGCACGAAATGCAACTGATTCAATGAAGGAGTCCAGGGTTCCTGATATTCTAAATGCGGTGAGTATATTGGTTTGTTATATTTCCGTGCATCTCAGAGTCAATATAGAATTATGATTTTGTTGCACATGTTGATGCTAGAATAATTCTTTGTCAAGTAATTGTGTAATTTCTTGATATCTTGCTTTGTAACAAATTCTTGTACCTACAAATATGAAGACATATCCTGTATTAAGGCAATGAAATAGTCTAATGCTCAGAATTTTTGTTTTAGCTAGTTTTAAGTATTGTCAATCTTAAAATCTGAACGAAATATAACAAATTTATTTATTTATATTTAAAATTTGACAATACTCTTCCTGACTTTTATTTTAGATGGCACCGCTCTCCTATCGAAAGATGGACTTTGAAGAGTTTTGTGCAGGTGCAATTAGCACATATCAACTTGAGGCACTTGAACAATGGGAGCAGATTGCATCTACAGCGTTTGAGCATTTTGAACAGGAGGGTAATCGAGTGATTTCTGTGGAAGAATTGGCTCGGGTATTTAGATATATGGCAGCTTCTAAGTTTATGAATTTTAGATCCCTTGATACTAAGTTATTTTCCTTTAAATATTGAAAGGTTTTTAATTTTATATCTTCTTTGGTTGATGCAGGAATTGAATATAGGCCCAACAGCTCATTCAATCCTCAGAGACTGGATCAGGAGCTCTGATAGAAAGCTTAGTTTACTTGGTTATACGAAATTTTTGCATGGCGTGACACTTCGCAGCACACATACAAGACAACAGTAGGGTTTTTTTTTTTTTTTTTTGTAGCCTTTGATAGAATGATAGCAGTTCAAATTCATTGCATTCAAGGATTGGGAACAAATTTTCTTTTATTTTTCTTCCCCCACCGCCTGGGGTGGGAAAAGGAAAATGTGTACAAATGAATATAAAATCTGAGTCAGCCGGAAATTTGTTTTGGGGAAATTCTAGTTGAAGAATTTTCTCAATGCTCATTTTCTTTGCACATTCTAAATTTATTTGGGGTTATCAAAATTTTAATTTTATGGTGGAGCCTTTCAAATCTTTAATTTAACCAATTCAAACCTCTGTGTAACCTATGGTATTAAATTTGAACAATTTTCTTAATCAAATTGAGGGTATATTGAAGGCCAATTAACATGTATTATTTACCATGTTGTTGCTTATGTAAATTATGGAGTTTATCTTATAAAAACCTCAATTCAATTCACTAAAGTCTTCATTCTAATCACTCGGTACTCCATTTGCTTTGCATACTTTTTATTTTTACGATTCTCAAAATACGTATATATAATTTGGAAACAGTTCACAAGTATAAATGTCATTAATTTTATAATTTGGACATAGTTAACAAATATTAGTGTCAACAATCTCTCCTCATAGGAAGAACCATGACAATAAAAAATTGTATTGATGATCAATTTATCTCATGATGTATGTTAGCATCTAACCTCCACCCCCCAACTATATTTTATTACTTTGATAAATGAGATATATGATCCGGTCTCTATGCTAAGAAGTAACAACCCTATCATTTTTATTATAATATCAATTCATGTCTTTTATATAATGCTAATCAATATATATAAGAGCCTTGTGAAAAAAATGCAAAAAAAGAAGCATAATTGTACTTATCTTTGATGACGCCATTTGTTGCAATATATTTACGTGCACGAAAACACCATTTCCTTCAAAAATAAATATAAAAAATTAATTAATTAATAAGTAATTATAAATGATTTTCAACCAATAATTTACGAGGAGTATAAATTATTAATGTACTTCTTTCTAAAACATGTGCCTTCTGGACGCAATTCTCTAAATTGGCATACAACACAACGTAACTTGATAAAATTTATTAATTTTTTTTTGTTGACAATAAGAAATTTGGTTGCCAAAAGTTTATGGCCGGTTTGATAAGGTCAACTCTATTGATGCAAATGGAGCTCTCAAGTTAGGCACTCTAATTCTACCTGCACCTAGCAAAACGCAGTACTTTACATATGGCACCTATCAGATCATTCAATTATTATTATTTTTTTTTGGGGATTGAATATAAACTTTTGACTTTAAAATGCCACTTAACCCTCTTCATAGTAACACCCAATTATGGTTTTAATCATTGTGTCACAAATGGATTAAATTTTTTTTTTTTTTTTTTATATATATTTATTTATTTTTTTCAAATAGCTTTAAAGTGAAAAATTTATCAAATAGCCTTGCCCATGATCAAGGAGTGTGTTAAAGAGGGAAATCGAATATGGGTTAGCATCATCTTGAGCACGAGCTGGTCTCCGACGTCTTCACGCCAAGTTGCTCATTGAATTTTGATAATTGAGTTTTAGGTTTTAGAAGGGAGTGTTCAACTAAAGAGGCGCGTTCTTAATCATGTAGTCCTTAGTAAAGCAACAATGATGTATATTTTTAAGGCATCCTAACTATCTTTCTCTCTATTTTTTTTCCCTCCAATTTTTTGGCGACTTTCAAAGGTATTTTGATTATTATTTTTTATGCACATATCCGTTACAGTTTAAATGAAACATAAATAAACCTCAATCTTAATGTTTTTCACTGAACTAGTGATAATGAGATTGTCCATCCATAATATGGGGTGATAGAACACGACGTGACATGTTTAATTTAAATTTTACATTGTTAAAATAATTTTTAATATATACTCGACATATTTAATTAAATGAATTATTTTAACATATTTTATTTGTGTGTCAGTTAAAATTGACACGTTAGGAACTCAAACTCACGCATTCAATAGGGTGTTAAAAATATATTGTCACCCCGAGTGCAGCTAAGTGTGATGTGTGTGTGTGTGTTGGGATGATTTGATGGTCCAATAAATATAACACCAAAGAATAGTACCCCTCCCTCCCCTATCCTATTCATCTATCACATGCGACCTTTAAAAGTCCAAGTGGTAAAGCATTTTCAATTATAAGTGAAAAGTTGTGGTCATAATACTTATATGCCTTTTAATCTCATCTCTCTCTCGGAAATTTTGGGCAAAGTAAAAGCAACAAAGTCCACTTTTTATTTCGCAAAGTCAAAAAGATCCAATTTCCAAAAAGGCCAATTCCCCGAGAAATAGTATTTATGTTTTGACAACAATGTAAAATCCCAATTCTAGGTAAAATTAAAACCAGATACATAGGCTTTTAATCATCAGTCTCAACTCTCAAGGTAAAATGCACTTACATAACCAAAAATAATACTATAAACAAAGAAAACTTAAAAATAGTGTGAGTAATGCTTTTTAAAAGAACCCTTTGAGTAATATGCTATCATGAGATGATTAAATAATTAAAATATATACTTTTAATCATTAAAATATGTATTAAAAAATTTATTTGACTTTTTATAAATCTCAAAAAAATTGTTATAATCTAATGATTAAATACCAAAAGTTCAGGACTTTTCTACTCTTCATATAATATTATTTTATAATTTTTTAAAGAGAAGTATGTTTTCTAAAAACTATTTTCACAAAACTGAAGGGGCAAATCACAAATTATGACAAAGCCATTAAACTGTGTTTTTTTTTTTTTTTTTTCACGATCTCTTTCTTTCATTTTCATAATGCATGGCTCACCTTCCTGTTGATACAGTGACATGCGTGCAACACAGAGAAGATCATGAAGACCCATACTAGGGGTCTACATGAGCAAAAGTCATCACACGTGTTGTTTAGGTTCTGTATATAGACCTAGATTTCTTCTCTATCACCTGAGTATGAGTATGAAGCAAACTTTGACACTGATTGAATATTGGTAGATACATTTACTACACTTTTATTCTTCTGAAATATTTCAATCATGTATGTGTGACACTGCTTATATATATATATATATATATAAAAATATATATATGTATATTATACTTATTTACAAATTTTAAACATTAAAAGTTAACAATTTCAACACATAATTTTAGAATATAACTGTTAGGAAGTTATAATTCCTGACTAATTTAGTCATGTAATATAACTCTCAACTCTCGATTTACTGATCATGATTTTTTACATGAAAATGTTATATATGTATATATAATAAACAACTATAATTTAAATTGATCAATATATAAAATAGATTATTTTGTTCTTGCTATATTCATTAAAATAGAATTTTTTGCATTAGAATGTACTACATCGTGTCCGTATTTGTATTCATGCTTCGCTTCATATTCTATTACTATCTTTCCAAATCAATTACTGATTCTTTCAATATTTATTATTGAAGTTACTCTTCGATCCTAAAGCTAAGAATCAAAGCAAAGCAAAATACTAGTAAAATGAAAAACAAGAATACCGTACTATATATGTAGTATACAAATCCATTTCACTTTAAATTCCATGGTGTTAATAGGAGGAGGTAGATAGTGTGAAAGATTAATGCAATCCCATTGTATTTGAGGAGTCAATTTTACATGTGCATGTACACCAACTAACTAATTCATCATTGTCAAAGGAAGAAGAAAACATATTTATAAATACGTAACTCAGAGTTTCATTTGAGAGGATTACAAATTTAACTGAATCAGTGCATTTCATGTCTCAAAAAGCTTACTTATTACATACACTAAACAATGAACATTGGGGTTCACTATCCAGAAGGCATACAAACTGTTGAAACTAGTAGAATATATCTAATAGCAGGATGCCATACTAAGGGTTTCAGATTAATTAGTATGATAATAAAGCTAATTAAGGGGTATATTAATGCCTCTCTCTCACACACAAACTTAGGCACATTAGGCATTTGACTGACCCTCTCACTCTCTCTCTCTCTCTCACACACACACATCAAGCTAGTGTTGTCCAGTTACAGAGATTATAATACGAAGGCCAAATAATCACAACCAGATCAGTGGGTTGGCCTTTTACAGATATATGGAAGTAACTAAAATAAAATCAAGCAGTAGGATAACATTGATCCTTATATCTTCATATAATCAAGAAGCATATACCAGTAAATATCTTCATCTCTTCAGCCATTACAAACGTACTAGTCTACAACAATTGATCTTGCTCAGATTCTTAACACTAGGCTACCTGATTCAAACACATACATAATAAGCACAAACTGGTGGGTGAGGGTTTGGTGGGAAACAACAAAAAAAAGTCTAGTGTAGAAATCAATCAAACAGATCAGATTATGTGCAGGTATTCTGTTACTACAAATAAATGAATTTGTTAGAAAAACGGACATCTCAAACAAATTTACAAAAAATATATTGATTCTCTGCTTGATCGTTGTAACATATATAGCTCACTACATATCTTATATATACATCTATTGAGTAATACATATACATATACATATATATGAACCTAGCTAGATACCAAATCTGTGGAAGAATAGGTCGATCACAAGAGAGAGAAAGAGAGGAGAGTTTTACCAGCCAAAGTCCAAAGCCAGATCTGAATTCAGGTAGATAGCAGAAACAGACAGATCAGATTCTGAAAGTCATGATGAGAGAAATGATGAACCACAAAAGTGATCTTCACTTCACTGACACAAAAAACACCATCATAACATAACTTGGACCAGAATCAGAAAAAATAAAAAATAAGTAATGATGAAACTTTCTCACAAAAGATGCAATCTATAGTCAAGATCCTTCATCATTACACCAATCTGCCCATAACTAACAATCGTTAACGAGATCTCTAACTTAGAAAAAAAAACACCCATTATCCAAAAACATAATCATTTCTCAATAAAAAAAAGTAAAACTGATGGATTATACAAACCTCACATTCAGATCAAACAGATAATCATCTAAAGACCTGGAAGCAATGCTTGAGGGGAATGAAGCCTGGTCCGACAACACTAACACATGATCAAATCATCTGATCCATCTGTTTCACATACTTATTACAACTAGATCTATGTGTATATACAAATATATATATATATATATATATATATATGGATATGTATAAAATTTGATCAAGCAAGGGTCCTCGAGCCAGACAACATTCCCCTCAAAAAAGAAAAGCTCCCTTTTTTTCTTGATCATCTTCAACTCTCTCTCTCTGTCATGTTTCTTTTGCCCCTCAAGAGTTTCGCCTCTCTTCAAGGGGGATAGAGAGAGAAAGTGTATCTGTGTGTGTGTTTGTGTGTGTGATGATGAAGAGAATGATTTGTTTGGGGGTTATAAGAAGGTAAAAGGAGTGTAAGCCCAAGTAAAAAGACAAAAGCTACTAGCAGACCCTGACCCTACCAGCTGGGTTCCAGAAATGACCACGACCCATGCACCCACCATACACCACTTTCACAGTTTCACTCTCTCTCTCTACAATTCACTCTCATATCTACCGTCTGATTCTAAGTGTTATGACCTCGTACAACCATTGACTACTATAATAAACAACAACAAAGTTAAAAACCGACCATCACACTTTTTGATTTTGATCGATGATAGAAGAACAGTGTCATCACCCTGCTGCAAACATTGGGTCAAGAATTGTACTAGTGGCCTACATGTTGTCAAGACTCATTATAGACCGTAGGATGGTGAGACTCTACTGTACGATGATGAACTTACACACAAATATATGGTGATGATGAATTGATGATCACTACTACTACTGTTGTTTTTAAAAGGTATCGAAATTTAATAAGGCCATACAAGTGAGTCAGGACAGTGACTGAGTTGTTGAGCTGCCCGATAATAGAAACTCCATTTATTAATGTCTGTCTCACTCTCTCTCTCTCCCAATTCAATTACTGCTACTAAAATATATGTATTTTTTTTAACTGTGTATATATATATATATAGATATATAAACATTTTATAATTAATAAGAATAAATATTTTTTTAAAAAAAAGTTTGCTTTTTTCATGAAAGAAGGGGTCCCTCGTTTGCCGCATCCTTTTCACACTGGCGAAGAATTCAAGACGACGACCGACAGACAGGGTCAGGGTCCATAACCATTTTCTCTCTCTATATGTATTGATATGACTATGTGTATATATATTTATATATATATTCCCGTTTTTCACCTTCCCAATTCGTCGGCGACTTTTAAGCGTTTTTACTTGCGAATTGTTCGTGTTGAATCGCTCGTTTTTTACGAGTTAATGTGTTACTCAGAGACAGAACTGGCAACGATTCAGTACTCGGCAGACATGGAAAGTGACAGTATATTCACTGTATTAATTCAATTGTACAGTACGTACAAGGGGGAAAGTAAAACACGACGTCGTGTCAAAAGCGATGACTTCTTCATTACCTGATTGGGAGCCACGTCAGCCTCAACAACTCAATTAACGTCACTTAAAAAATGTCAAGATACATTTTTAATCGCACTGTTTGCTTTAACTTAGACATTGATCATAATATATAGTGTCATTATTGAGTCATAGGTTCGTCAGGTTACATGTGAGCCTAAGAAGGATAAAACTGGAATTTAGACAATGATATACCATAAATAATGCATTGAAGTTATAATGAAGTATACATTTTAATGTACTAGAGTACCACTTCATTCTGTTGACTAATTCTTATTTGATAACAACACTTGAAAAATAATTATTGAAAGTTTTAAAATTCAGTTAATACAAGTAGTAAATTAAGTATTGATTTGTTAATTGATTGAATTTTAAGTGTTTGTATTAAGTGATAAATAAAATATATCTCCTTTAATACATTTAACTGATTAATTACTTAATTTAGTCAGAACTAAAAATAAAATTGAGTTTTGATATTTTGACTCACTCTTTTGGAGTGAATTTGACTTGCAGTACTTGTGGAGGAGAAACAAGTGTATAGTAAGTACCAAAGCCTAAGCAAATGTTGATTATTATATATATATATATATTTCTTTTAAATTGGAGGCGGGTTATGATCAATTGCTTAGAAGGTTATTGTTATTTCAAGAAAATCGTTGAGAAAAAATCTATTTTGATAATTATAAAACATCCCTATATTTCCTTGCATGCAAGACAGAGACCTGGCATAACTGTCATTTTCCACCAGAAATAGTGGACAAGAATGAGTGGGGTCCAAGATCTTCTTTGTGTCTTTGTTTTTTTATCAGCCCATTTCACGGGTTTTTCTCTATTGGTTTCTCATTTAGCTGGAAAACATAAACCTATAATTAATAAACTTTGACTTATCACAAATCATATATCTACGTTTACTTCCATCCAAAACACCAAAAAAACATATGTAGCCCCCACAATCCATCTGTTTTTAATGCACAACTTGGACCCTATCCAATTACCCAATATCATCAAAAAAAAAAAATTGTTTCTACTTTTTTTTTCCTTTTCATTTTTTTTTTTTTTTTTTTTTTTTTCTTTTTCCCTGGAAAATGATTTACTACACAACATAAAACGATAGAAATCAAACAAAAAGATTTATGATGTTGTACCAAAAATAAAATGAAGAGGGACCACAGCAAAAGTAAACATATTAACGTGGAGAATAATGAATAGATTGGCAAGACGTGGACCTATCAATTGAAGTCATAAGCAATGCCCCATCACACACGGCGAAAACCTACCACGTCTTAACCTTCTCTTTTTTAGAATACAAAATAAGCCAAAACTGAAGTTAGAAGGGTATTTCTGTTTTTTAATTCTAAGGGTTGGTTTGGTTAGCGGAAATTGATGGTGAAAAGTGAAAGAAAAAGAAAGTGAAGTTAAAGAAAAGAAAATTATATTTTTATCATGTATTTGGTTAGCATGATTTTTTTGTAAAAAAATTGTGAAAAAATATTATTTCATTAGTTTGGTTAGCAAGAAAAGAGTTTTTTGGCTAATTAACTTTTAAAATTCCAAGTTGTTATATGTGTGTGTGTGTATATATATATATATATATATATATATATATCGGCTTTAATGGTAATGTATGTAAGCAACTTTAAACTTAACTGATACCTGTATTGGCCAAATAATCATTTGCAGAACATTCCTGTGATTTTTTTTACCGAGGGTGAAAAAAAAGATTGAGTTACTTATTTAAATTGCCGCTGAGTTAACTTTAGAGAGGCAAGGCACTACCAAAAATTGAGAGTGAATCAAAGGTCAGGTCAGAGTAATGTAAAAAGGACAATAAAAAGTAGCGAAAATAATACTCTTCCTATCATTTAGCAAAAGGTTAAGAGTGTCCCTTACGAATATAGCATGAGAGAAGAAGAGTCTCTCATAATTCTAATCATTCATGTAATTACTGAACTCACGCATGGTTGACAGATATAAGGACAAGCATAGCATATAGGTCATTTTTTAAATATATACATATATATTCATAGCCCTAACACTAGTCCCTTCTTTTTACAACTTTCATATGTCAATTGTCTTTCCCATGCTCGACCACCCACAGTAGTACTGTTAGTTTGATGCAATATCAGACATGCCATCTCAATTAATATTTTATCCTTAATATCTTCAGAAAAATTATGCATGATTTTTGTAGTGTGTGTATATAAATGCAGTAACAAATTAGTTTTACCATAAGAAAAAAAAAATCAATTGTATACATCTACTTCAATAGACAAGGAAATTAATTGAGGAAGGAGCTAGTGTATCAACAGTGCTAGTATGTTTCATCTGAAATGAATGCTCAAGCTAAGTTGATGAATATCATGCCGTACATGTGTTTGCAAATATAAAGTGAATCATAAATACTTGAACTTAGAACTGTATGAAATGTAGAACTGTATAGAATAGGATTACCTAGCTACAGAAAAAATAAAAAATAAATAAAAAAATCAAGGAAGAGAAAAGAGCAGGGAAGAAGGTTAATTTAATGGGTAACATCCTAAAGTTTGTAGGTAGGTTAGTGGGTTACCATGAAATTTGCTCCATAGCATCCTATGTTTTCAAAATAATTGACAAAGGAATTAATATAATTATATAGGTGAAGCAATAATATTAATACAAAACTGCACACGCCAATTAATTAGTTTCAAAACGTACTTTTTTTTTGTTGGCAAGTAAAGGTCAAAATGTATAGTCGTCCAAGTAATTTTTTTATTAAAAATTTACATTGTACATTCCTAAAATGCAGGTACAGAGCCATATGTACAATTTTCTGAAGAGGGTGCACGAAAGATGTAACCATGCCATGCCCCCACTCACTCTCTACACACTGCACATTAGAGTGACAAACGGAGAGGACGACACTGGCTCCAGATTTCAACGCTTTACAGTCTTTGAAAATTGCGAACTAGTGTGGCATGACAGAGAGAGTAATATAACAACAACACGTAATGTCAAATCTGCATGTCCAGCGCAGGTTGTCGAGACTTACATATCTATATATATATATATATATATAATAAATATACATGAATCTATATATGGTATACCTACCCCCTCTAGACAACAATAAAAAAGAATCTGATATGGTATATAATACATATGTGTGTGTGTGAGATTGAAATGTACCAATTAATTGATTAACAAAATAATGGAGTTTACTAACAATCAAGGTCTATTTTCTATCAAACTCAACAGTTGGTTTCCTCGAGGATTACACTTCCAACACTCAAACACACTCCCCTAAAAACGTATAGTCACGTGCTCTCTCTCTCCCTCACTCACTCACTCATAATCTTTCTCTCTCTAACCTAACCTAACCTATCGGAAAAAGGGAGGGGGGAGTAGTAGTTGAAAAGTAGGAAAAGGGGAAGCAACCCCTGTTGCATTTACCAGCTTTTAGATAGGTACCCAAGTCAATTTGGTGTCTTTGATCGAGAATTAAAGGAAGATACTCTATAAAGATAAACCATTTACAGAAAAGGCTTTGAAAAAGTTAAACACACACACACACACACAAACACAAACGCACTTCACCTCCAATTTCACACCCTAAATTCGTTTTTTCAATTACAATTAAAACCTCTGGTTTCATAGACTTGTAGATAGGAGACTCCTATTTTTTAGAGCCCAAAAACTTTTATCTCAATCATTTTAATTAGTGAAAGTGGTACATGTAACTAAATTTTCCCTCTGGTATTAGACTAGTCAACATGAATAAAGCAATTTCGATGCCCCATCTAGGAGTTTGTGTTCAAATTGACACAAGATGCTATTAGTAAAACTCACTTGAATATTGACTATTAAAAAGTATTAGTATTGAATTAATACAGCATTGAAGACTTCAAATCATACAGAGGAGTATTTACAATAGGAAAATGATTTTCGGACTTAATTCTCTAACCTATTGCTAGGTTTAAGTGTTTCAATCTTATTTTTATGTAAAATTTCATTATAATGATAAGATGCCACAAAATCTTCTTAATTTATAATTGATTACATGGTTTTATATGCATTGACTTTTTAGCACGAAACACTCAATTGAATCTTGGAAACAATAAGAAATCCAAAAAATATATATATATGCACCCGGATGAATTAGA